TGTACCCTTAGCAGAAAAACAGCCCCAAAGCATAATGTTTACACCTCCGTGCTTGACTGTAGAGATGGTGTTCTTGGATCATAGTCAGCATTTCTCTCCCTCCAAACACCGCAAGTCGAGTTAATGCCAAAGAGCAAAATTTTGGTCTCATCTGACCACAGCACTTTCTCCCAAGCATTCTCTGAATCATTTAGATGTTCATTGGCAAACTTGAAACGGGCCTGTACATGTGCCGCCTTGAGCAGGGGGACAGGATTTCAGTCCATTGTGTAGTGTGTTACCAATGGTTTGCTTGGTGACTGTGGTCCCAACTGCCTTAAGATCATTAACAAGCTCCTCCCGTGTAGTTCGGGGCTGATCCCTCACCTTTCTCATGATCATCCTTACCCCATGAGGCAAGATCTTGCACGGAGGTGATGGTTGTTTGTATTTCTTCCTTTTCCGAATAATCGCACCAACAATTGTCTCCTTCTCACCAAGCTTCTTGCTGATGGTCTTGTAGCCCATTCAAGCCTTGTGCAGATCTACAATCTTGTCTCTGACATCCTTTGACAGCTCTTTGGTCTTGCCCATGGTGGTGGGAAAGGAATGGAAGATACAGATTGTGTGGACAGGTGTCTTATACACCTAACGAGCTGACATTAGGAGTAACTTCTTAAAGTGGCAGGACTAATCTGTGTTCCAGATGGGCACATAACCAATCAGTGGGAGCCAGAATTCTTGCTGGTTGGTAGGGGATCAAATACTTATTTCACTCACTGAAATGCAAATCAATTTCTAACGTTTTATATATTGTGTTTTTCTGGATTTTTTTTGGTTGATATTCTGTCTCTATATGTCTAAAATAAACCTACCATAACAATTACAGACCTTTCATTTCTTTGTAAGTGGGCAAACTTATAAAATCAGCAGGGGATCAAATAAACATTTCCCCCACTGTATACTGATATTTACTACTAATGGGGAAGAAAATGCTTTTCACATTTTTGTCAGACCTTGGAAATGAATGTAAATATAACTTGGTTTGTTCACAATTAAACTCCACAGAGTAGAGCTACCTTTTAATTTAGGGCCCCACAAAATCAATTTAGTTTTTTCCTAAATTCTGTTTGGTTTCCATTCAATTTTTCTGGTTTCTGTGTTTTATGATTCTATACAAGTTGGATCATGAAGTGTCAAATTAATAAAACTTTAATGATTTAATCAATCTTTTAAAATGCAAACAAATAAACAATACAACAATTCATTTACAACAAAACATTGCATTTTAATTAGTCAAATAAGATGCTGCACAACAGAACTCTATAAATAAATGAAAAAAAATTGGTTTAATGATATTCCTTAAACATATTACTATTATCAATTTGAGAATTGCATTTTAGTATACAGCAGTGATCTATTTCTATTATAATTTAGTAGTAATATAATTCTGTTAGAAGTTAGGCTGAACTTTTATTGTGATGGTTTGTCATGAAGATCTTTGAGTGTCCAAAGTGTTTTAGTGTGTATTTGGTGTTTCCCTCATACGAAACTGGTGAAGTGGCTCTCCGAGCATCTCTGGCGATGAAGTTCATGTCACGCGTGCTTGAGTTTGTGTAGCAGATGAAACCACAGCACTCATTCACACAGAGAAACACTCAGAACATGCAGACTTATTAGTAACATGGCCGTTGTCACATTTATTTCTGCTGTTAGATTAATCAATATCAAGTAAAGGTGTCCAGCACTTATTATAAACATCAATTTTATTGCAATCTCGATATCATATCATTGATCGCCCTGCCCTATTCTGAAGTTACATGATAACTCTAGTCTCAGTCCCAGATTTGAATCAATATTGACTTAAAACTAGTCTTTCCAGCATAGCTCAACATCAGGGTGAATAAATTATGGCAGACTTTTTATTTTTGGATGAACTCCAACCAAGTAGAACACACAAATATCTGCCTTTTCTCATATTGCAATGATGAACAATTTCTCTGCTTCTGTCACAGGTTGTTGACATGCCGATAGTCCAGTACCAAAATCATTAATTGAGGATTTAACCACTTCAACACCGACCACCAACAACTCCCCATGAGTGATTGACGAGCACCCTAAATGTACCAGCACCTCTTTCTCTCCACCAGTGGAAATGTTTTGCTCACTTTAAAATGTACTTTTAATTTTCCCAAAAACGATTTTGACGTAGCACACCATCAGGAGAAGTGGCCGAGTAAAACACTAGAATCTGCAGCCACAGCGATAAAACAACCATGTTGAACCATGTACAGAACTGAGGAACCAGCAGTGATTGATTGTCAGGGAATTTCACTGAAATACTGTGTGATCCTGAAAGCTGAACCAGTTTTTACTTTTACCTTTATATGGTGATTTAACAGCTTTGCGACTTCACGCTGTGTGTACTGCACATCTGCATGCGTCACTTTATTCATAGCTCATTGTGGCCTCTAACAGCGTCTCTGGATTGTTCATATGTGCAATGTGTCCGCTTCCGTTTAATGGGTTGAGTCGCCCATCCTTAATTCGGTCCATTAGTCCAGTCACAGGCTATCTTGGTGTACTTTTTGAGTGCAATTATAGAGAAACTGGATGCAAATGATTTTTAAACTACCTTTTGCATACAGCAAACCTTATGATGTTCCGTACTTATTTTATTTTCATTCATTGAACACGTTTATAAAAATCTGACTTCCTTATGTTTTGGGTTACGTCATTAAAACCACTGTGTTTGACGTATATTTATGTACGCTTCGTTACAGCATTAACTGCATGTCTTGATTAATTTCAAATGTGTTGTCAGTCTTCATTTCTATTTCAGTTGATTATATCTGTTGTGCCTCACAGTATCTGGTACTTCGGCCCGTTCACAGGGAATTATGGGTAAAGAAATTAGAAGTAATTTTGCACAATTGCGTACTGACAGCTTAATATCCAATGCTTTGTTGCACAAACGTGTCTCTCGCTTGCAAGAATAGCTTTCTCTTCCTGAATGTGTTCCACAGATAGCGTTTTAGCTATGCATGATACTATAGAACAATGAAACATTTGTGAGTGACTTTTCCTTTGTGGTACTGGTTTATAAATTTCGAAGTTGTTCATGTCAGTTATTTAACCATTAATATGTAGCGCTAGAATTGTTGGTTTACTACAACCTTGAGCAATGCAAGAATACATGTAACCTTTGAAGGTTCTTTAAAATGTGTTTTTCCATTACCATAGAAGTGCGGGCCACTGCTGAAACCAGACAGCTGTGAATAGAAATGTCTGCTGTAGAGTGAAATGCATTGCAGCTCAAGGATGGATGTATCTAGGGTGTGAGATCTACATCTACAGTTTTTAAGTGCTGCACACGGAGTCTTTAATAGTCCTTACAGCAAAAATAAACTTTCTTTTCCCATATGTCATGTCTGGAGTATGTTTATATTAGGGCACATGTGGACACAGATTTGATCTGTTATGGATCAGTCTGTCTCAAGTAGTCCAAAAATTGTGACACTTTTTATTTTATTTTGTTTAACCACAGCAGCCATCTTTGTGTCATGGCACTATGAATTTTAATTGTACAGATGTTTACCGAAATCTCGAGACTAACTAAAATTTGCCGTTACGATAGCCACTGTGGTTATTAGGAAAATTAAAAATGGTTGTGCATTCTCCAAAGATGCATTTTATATATCAAGGATCTGGGTTTCACGCTTTCTGACCAATGAATGATCTTCCAGTTGTTAATTTTTGTTTTATATATATAAATATATAATAGTATATTGTAATAGTATATTTTAGAGCAGAGCAGACCATGAAAGAAAAAATTTTCACTATAGAAATTTCCATTATGTTTTAATATTTTATTAATTTCATAATTTTTTACAGGCCTGGAAATTATCGCAATAATTAAGCTTCTTTATATTTCTAATAGTATTATGTTTACTATGTGAAATTATGTGAAGGAGGAGGGATGAGATCAAGATGTGACACTAGCCAGATTTGAATTCACATCATTCAAAAGAGTACCTTAGTTCACATGCATCAACCACTAATCCATTATTTTATAGTATTTATCATTGATTATTTTTAATTAGCTTTCATTTCATTTGTAATTTTTACTAGGTTTTGTTTTAGTCATTTTTATACTAAAAATGATTTTTAGTTCAGTTCCTAATCTTCAAGTTTAAATCTAATAATGATATTTTGTTTTATTTCAAATGTATTTTAATTAAAGAAAATGATTTATACGTTTTAGTAAATAACAATCCACAGCTTTCCACATGACTGGTCTAAAACATTTTACTGAAGCTTCTGAGCTCTTAATAATACATCAACTGAGTCATTATGTAAATGTACATTTCAACAGAATCAGGATGAGAGTCAAACACAATTAGGTTGCCATTAAGCATTTAATAGATATAAACAACATAATTTAACATCTGTTTATTCATGTTAAGTCCACTCTGACCTGTGCTATGTACATACAGGTGCATTCACAGTAAAGGGACGACAGATGCATGTGAATGCTGGGATGCAGATGACTGCAGTGACGGTCCTGATGGGGATCAACTGTAAACTGTATGTGACATCAGTGGAGAGATGATGCTCTGTGCATTTGGTCTTGGCCAGCATTCAGCCATGCACTCTCCCACGCTCTTTATACCACATAAATCCGTTTACAGCTTAAAGCTCGAGTCAAACTGCTACACACCATCCTGACGGCATATGCACTCTCCCAATTTCAGCTGGATTTCATACCAATTTCTGCCAAACAAAAGCAGCCATAGTGCCTAGGACGAGATGAGGCACCTTACATGTCACAGGGTGATCTATATCACACACAAAACATATTCCCTGTATTTTGTATAAGGCATGAGAATGAAAGGAAAAGACACCAAATCTACACATTTTCAGATCAATCCCACTGTTTAAAAGAATATAAACTTTACTCATCCTCAGGCCATCCATCCAAGTATTAGATGAGTTTGTTTCTTCATAGGAAATGTAGCATTACATCACTTGAATGGATCCTCTGCGGTGAATGGGTGCCGTCAGAATGAGAGTCCAAACAGCTGATAAAAACATCACAATAATCCACACCACTCCAGTCCATCAGTGAACATCTTGTGAAGTGAAAAGCTGTACATTTCGAAGAAACAAATCCATCATTAGTCAAGTGTTTTACCTTTAAACTGTCACTTCTGGCCAAAATACTAGTCTATAATCCATAAAATCTCCTTCATCAAAATTCACCAACATATTCATTTATAACTGTTCTTAGCTGTTTTTGCCTGTAAACTGCTTGATCTGTGCATATTTCTCTCCTGATTCAGACAAGATGACTTTCACTGGAGAAAGCAACATTATGGATTATGGCCTCGTATTTTAGCCGTTAGCAGTGGTTTGAAGTTTAAAAAAAAAAGTCTTGATGGATTTGTTTAGTACAAACACTTTACTAGACGTTAATTGATAGTCTGGAGCCGTGTGGGTTACTTGTGGATTATTGTGATGTTTTTAATCAGCTGTTTGGACTCTCACTCTGACGGCACCCATTCACTGCAGAAGATACACTGGTGAGCAAGTGATGTAATGCAACATTTTTCCAAATCTGTTCCCACGAATAAATAAATTCATTAACATCTTGATGGCCTGAGTACATTTTCAGCAAATATTCATATTTGGTTGAACTATTTCTTTAATTTCATAGCTGCGGTTTAATTTCGGTAAAGATCCAGGTGGCGTTCTCAATTCGCATTAGGGATGAAGTACAGCATCACAGATGTTTCTCAGTCCACTTCACTAAGTTATAAACACATCGATGTCTTTGCACGTACATGCCGAGTCTCTGACTAGTCTGATTGTCTGAGGGGAGTCTCGCTACAACTCAATCAAACACTGACGGCTGATGGAGATGATTTAATGCGCCCTTGTGAAAATATCCAAAGGGTTGAGTTCCTGAAACCTGCCATGTTTTAAATTCACTATAGCACACAACACATACTACGCTTGAAGTTCCTCAAGTGACATGAAGAAATACTGCTGCTAGAATTGTGACACCGCAAGGCAAATTATATTTGATAGAAAATTCCTTTTTTTATACTGCATTTAGTCCTTTTAAATCCGTTTGATTCGAACTAGAAGCTATAACCCTGCTGAATCATATTTGAAGGTTTAAATCCATTAAAATGTTGCTTGTGGACACAAAACTGGTAAGATCAAGTGGTTAAACGCAAACAAATAAATATTGATTTTACAAAAGGAATAAAAACCAATGTCCTATGTACAACAAATATCAATTTTCCGCAGCATTCAGATCACAAAAAAGGTTTAGTCTTCTTTGAGTCATTAAACAAATGACTGAGGAGAAAACTAAATCACATTGCTTTGCTCTACAAGCTTTCATTCATCAAAAAGCTTTTGACACCCAGTGATGGTGTGATGTAATCAGATGTGAGTGAGGATGAGGGATTATGAATGTAGTGCCCACGCCGTCCGTTACCCTTCCCTCCAAACCGACTCTCCCACTCGCCTCAACTTCTAGTGAGGGTTCTTTCCCCCAGAGCTAGGGGGCGCTGTGCCTCCTCCACCCTCCCTCTGTCCATGGCCTCTTCTCCCGTGTCCCAGAATGCAGTGCGCGCTTCCGCAGCCTTCCTCGTCATCCCCCTCGCTTTCCGAGGAAGACTCGCCGAACTGTCGAGGCTTCTCATAAACACAGCAACCTGAACATATCAAAGCCATTGTAGAAGAACGTGAAAAACAAATAAGCTGAGGACGTTCTATTTCAAGCAACAAAGCATTCAATAGGCCGCTTTGAGCAGATGCAGGTCATTTAAACCTGATTTTCAAGGTCAGCTATTTAAAATCTGGCCCAGATCTGCCTGTCCTACACTATTTTCAAGTATGAAACCGATTCTCGTTTTATACACATTAAATGACGATCCATAATGGATTCAGATCAAGACTTCACATCAAATCAAAACAAGCCTCACACTTTGAAGACCTCCGGCCCAGATGTTCATTGTCCACCGTGTCACTGGACCACTCCACTTTCTTCTCCGTCTTCCTTTTCCTGAGCTTGATGGTCAGGCTTCTGCCCTCCTGAAAGCACACGAAGTGAATGAAGAATATTAGTGACATTATTAAATATTTTTACAGCTGTGAGTAACCATTGATAGTTATGATGATGACAACATTTATCACATCAACCATTGTTCTGGCTTTGTGTTACTACTGCAAAACCACAATACATTAACATGGGATCTTACTACGAACTGCAACTAAATCTGCTAGACATACACCACAGCAATACCATGCATTCTTTAAATTACTGTAAAATACCATGCATGATGGTATATGAATAAGGTAATCATTTAATATTATGGTATAACCATTTTGTAACAATATTTTATTGGCCAAACATTATGAAGACAATAGTGTTCACAGTAATTGGGATTTTTTTATTACCAAAAAAAAAACAAACAAAAGCAACTTTAAATAAAATAAATGTATAAATAATACACACACACACACACACATACTTGGGTTATCTTTGTGTAATATTAAAATTTGTTCGATGATCTGAATCATTTAAGTGTGACAAACATGCAAAAAAAAAAAGAAATCAGGAAGGGGGCCAACACTTTTTCACACCACTGTATATATATAACAGTGGGTTAACATACTGTTATAGATTTTATTAACAATTTTATTAAGTTATTTAAATATTTTTCATTTCCATTTTAGTGTCCTTTCAAGATTTAGTAGTTTTGTTGGTTTTGGCATTTTTATTTATTTAAATGCCTGCACAGTTTTTTTTTTATTATGAATTTATGTTTTAGTTTTTAGTACATCAAGTTAAACGAAAATGTACGTTTAAATGAAAATGAGAAATGTTGCCTTGGCAGCTAGCTGAAATAAGTTTTATAATTTTAGTTAACTTTTATTTTATTTTAAAGGGGTCATATGATGCTTTTTTAAAGATC